AATAAAATGCAATCATAAACCCACATTTTATTCACAACAGAAAACATATCAAATGTTTAAAATAGAAAATATTACTGCTTTAATAAAATATGAGCTCATTTTAAATTAGGTGTAAGTAACAAAAGGTTGGAAAAGTAAGTGGTACTAAAAAAAAACAGCTGGAGAAACGTTTTGTAGCTCATTAGGTCAACTGGGAGCCGGTCAGTAACATGTCTAAGATCCTCTTTTTACACCTGAGAGTTTCTCAGAAGTACAGCTGGATGGAAATTCATTAATCTGTAAAAAACTGTTTGCAAATTGTGACCAATTCCAGTGTAATGTTCCTCTACATAAATGTAATGTCTGTAAATATCTTCCCATCTACAGAGCTTAATATCATCCCAGTCTTAGCAAAATCTAGTGAAATCTCTGTGGGCAATGAACAAGGCTGGAAACCAATGTTGGATATATGTGATCTTCAGGCCATTGGGAAGTGCTGCATTAAAAATGGCCACAATTCTGTCATGGGAATCACATCGAATAAAACAAACAAGTCTGCATGTATGGGGATATGTAAATATATTGCCTATGGATATATAGTTTACACATCTGGAAAGACACCATCGGTACACAGTTCTTTGAGCATTCCAGCCCTCTTATATTTCAGCAAGACAATACTGAACTGTATACTGCATCTAGCACAACAGCATGACTTTGTAGTAGAAGAGTAGGTAGTAAGCTGGCCTGCCTACAGTCCAGAACTTTCACCAGTTGAACACATTTAAAGCGTCAAGAAACAAAACGTATGTGAAAGATCAGCCAGAACTGTTGGAACAGTCAGAATGGGATGACTTTCCTCTCCACTCAAGCAAGCTGGTGTCCTCAGTTTCCAGGTGTTTATGGACTTTTTTGAGAGACACAATTTTTTTTGAGACGTGTTGCTGTTTTTGCACAGCTGAAAATTTGAACTCATGTGCAGTAAAACTGACTAGAACTAAATTGAATTCATTTGGTTGCTTATTGTGGCTAATCTTAGCAGTTACACATATGCTAGTGTGGTGATCATTGCAGATTCTCACACACACACACTAAATACAACCTGTAGTTGTCAGTGATGGTGAACACATTGATAAAGTGATTGCTCAAATCTGGGCATTCTCACTAATCATGTTGTGTCTGCATCTGTGCAGCCAGGCATTGTGTTGTGCTATTAAAGCAGTGTGTTGTTACTGGCACGCTCCTAGCACAGCCAGCTCATTACAGAAGGACATATTTTTAGCATGGTGTGATTGGCGTGGAGTCCTAAGAGGAGAGCGAAAATTGAATGAACGAGGAGCTCAGGGGCTGGCCCTGGACTGAAGAGAGAATCGGAGTACACAATCGCTGTTTGATAGTGTCGCTGAGACAATCGCTGATCCTCGAGAGGATCGTGTTGAAGTTATTAGTACCACATAGGCAGCCACAAGATGACACTTACGTAACATAGCAACGGGTCGGCTTGGAGGAAAAATGAGTTGCATATCTTTTTATGTCTCACTGTTAGAAATGCTCACTATAAACAAATATGTTGCAATACACTGTAGAGATATGAAGCATCGGTTGTTTGTTTGAATGAAGCATTTTGTGTCCCAGTGCAATGTTATGGCTGTTTGATGTGTTTAAAATAATTTTGACAACAGACGAGTTCTGCTGCAGAGCAAAGCTAGACAACGGT